TGTGTCCATTCCGGCGGTGATAGGCAAGGAGCGCAGCGTTGTACGCTGCCAATGGCACTCATTTCCATGGCACTTGTTGCACACTCTATGCCAGTGATATATACAAGTCGATCCATGAAGTATGACGAGGGGCATTTCTCTGGGGCTCATAGTGAGGATATGCAAGCCATGACTTTCTTCACGGCATAATCATAGGACGAAAAGAGTTCAAAATTTGTGCTTTAGTAAGAGTTTCTGGGAAACATCCTCCAAACATATGTTCATCTGTTTGCATGATTGAGGACTTTCCTTTTTCCTTTACAGAGTACTTAGTCTCACAGACTGTTAAGAATGAATGCTGAATTATCAGTGGTTAAACTGGTACGAAGGCCAAAGTTAATCTATGGCCGAGGAGCTAAAGACAGATGAATTCAATTCCCCCTTAACTAAAGTTGTCACTATATGTTCATAATTTGATGGAATTCCTCAATTGGAGGATCAAAGTTGAGAAAGTAATATTGACATTTTTTGATTCAAATGGAGTAGCACCAAGACGATGTCATAGAAGTCTGAACGGCGTCTCAGATCAATTTGGTAGACCATTCGTACATCTTTGTGGGATTCCTAGAGGGAATAGGAAGCACACATTTTCTTTAGTGTTTCCAACATTACTATACTTTATACACCCTAAAAATAATTCTATACCTTCTTAATTGTGTTGCTGTAATTCTAAGGAATTAAAAGGGGTTTTGTTCTTCAAGATAACTGTCTCTTGCATTTTTATTGAGGCCAGTTTCTATTCAGAATGTCAGTAAGTTCAAAAATAGGAATTTTACTTTGAGAATGAGATTATTGATTTTTTGTTTCTTAGAATAATTTTTTAATCCAAGGAGTCATGCTTCTGCACTTGAGTACATTTGGGAATATTCTACATGGCACAGCATATGCAATTTAAACTTCCATCATTGTGGATCTAAGTGAGAGATACCAGAAGAGAGGTTTCCACCCTGGAGAATCATTTTCTATAGAGGATATGAGAAGAAAAGAAAGTTAAAGCTTACCTGTCTGCTTGGTCCTTGTTTTCTCCTCTATGTACATTACTGAGCCAGTATAAGATTGCTTTTGGGAAGCCTAAGGAGCCTGGAGCAAACAAGCTTATTGCCACCTTCTACTGCCCAATGGCCAGATCAGAAGAGGACAATGACATCGCCCCTGTCAGCAGGAGGGAAAAAATGTTTTGAATTCTGAATCTGAATTGAAAAAATTCTGAATCTGTAAGAGATCCCCTACCAACTCTCCACTCTCAATTGATGTCCTCCTCTAAATGGTCTCCAGACATTGAAAAATGGCCTCTGGGGCCCCACTGAGGTCACTGAACTCATAAAAGCTTAGGACTCTCTCTCCTAAAAATACACACTAGATACATAAAATTTTGCTAATAATGTCTGAAGTTCACAAAGGCAACCTTCCCCAACCTTGGCCTAAAGTTAGGAGCCACCACAGCATCGGTGAGCCCCTTTGTGAATTAACCTCCACCACAGTTCCAAGCCCTGTCTTACCCACAATAGCATTGAGACCGTGCTCTGGCCAAATTGATCCTCATGATAGGAGCAACCATTTCATCAAGGAATTTCTCAGAGAAGCCTGCTTTTGCAAGGTTTCAAGAAGCTGTGTTGGTTAAGTAGTCCAAGGAATTCACCCTCCTGTAGCATGTAGTAATTTTTCTACACTGCTGAAGGCATACTCATGAGATTGGTAGCTATAGATCCTTTATGAAAAGAAGAGAAATGACCATTAAACACCAAACAAGAAGGGGAGTAGGATGTATAAAGAAGGGAAATAGTGGCATAAGAATCAAACTGACTTCCATGTTCCCTTCTGATAAGTTTCTACCTATCATGTGAGACACAGCTCAGAGACCATCTTCCCAGCGCTCCCAGACAATCCTCGCCCTCCACCTCCTCTACAAGTCTATTGTCCTTTGTATACAGTCTTGCTTTCTACAGTAATATGATCACTGGAGCACCTATTTTTAGCCTCCTTTAGAAGTCCGTTGCACTCTGTATACACTCTTCTGCATTAATGTGGTCACTGGTAGCACCATTTTTGTCTTTCCACCAGGCTTGATCTCTATTCATCACATCCCAACTAAAATAACTGGCCACTGCTAACATCCTACTTGTCATCCTCAGTTTATTAGTTTTAAAGCTTAAACATATTTCACATCTGCTTCTCCCACCCAAGCAGGAACCTTATCAATCTTCCTAAATTCTGTCTTTTACTCCCATTCTCACTTCCCTGATCTTAGGTTAGGATTTATATTCAAACTACCAAAGTGAAATGATCTACCTGCTCTAGTTTTCTTTTGAAATATTTATAAATCTCCAGGATTCCTAAAGTATACCTCTTTTATAACATCCTTCATTTATTTTAAAAAAAACTCTTGCTTTTGCTTACTAATAAAGCCCAGATCATGTGGACTGATATAAAAAACAACCATGAGGTGGGACACGGTTGCTCATGCCTGTACTCTGGGAGGCCGAGGCTGGTGGATCACTCAAGGTCAGTAGTTTGAAACCAGCCTGAGCAAGAGCAAGACCCCATCTCTACTAAAAAATAGAAATTAATTGGCCAACTAAAAATATAGAAAAAATTAGCCCGGCATGGTGGCACATGCCTGTAGTCCCAGCTACTGAGGCTGAGGTAGAAGGATTGCTTGAGCGCAGGAGTTTGAGGTTGCTGTGAGCAAGGCTGATGCCACAGCACTCTAGCCCTAGCCTGGGCAACAGAGTGAGACTCTGTCTCAAAAAAAACAAAAACAAACAACCATGAGTTCTAGACTCAAACTCATGAAGTCATGAACTCATGAAGGGTGAAGTTGCTATAACTGCCAATAAAGAAACAAAGCAGGCCGGGCGTGGTGGCTCACACCTGTAATCCTAGCACTCTGGGAGGCCAAGGCAGGCGGATTGCTTGAGGTCAGGAGTTCGAAACCAGCCTAAGCAAGACCCCCGTCTCTACTAAAAATATAAAGTAATTAATTGACCAACTAAAAATATATATACAAAAAATTAGCCGGGCATGGTGGCGCATGCCTGTAGTCCAGCTCTCAGGAGGGGAGGCAGGAGGATCACTTGAGCCCAGGAGACTGAGGTTGCTATGAGCTTGGCTGATGCCACGGTCCTCACTCTAGCCTGGGCAACAAAGTGAGACTCTGTCTTAAAAAAAAAAAAAAAGAAAGCAGGCCAGGCTTGGTGGCTCACGCCATTAATCTTGGCACTCTGAGAGGCCGATGCCAGAGGATTGCTTGAGCTGAAGAGTTCAAGACCAGCCTGAGCAAGAGCAAGACCCTGTCTCTACTAAAGATAGAAAAATTAGCCAGGCATGGGGACGTATGCCTGTAGTCCCAGCTGCTTGGGAGGATGTGGCCAGGGGATTGCTTGAGCCCAGGAGTTGAGGTTGTAGTTAGGTGTCATGACACCACTGCACTCTAGCCCAGGTGACAGAGC